AGCCTTTGTTTAGAAACCAAATCAGTTTAAAATTGGGGGGGATGCTCACAACTTTGGTTTTAACATAGAAAAATAGAAATAGAAGCTGATGTGTTGTTTTGTTTTAAAGAGAGAGAACAGGAACATAACATCCAATGATGTTTACTGGGTTGGAATTAATTACAGAGGCAACACATTCTCCAAAGAGGATGCAAATCCGTAAGTTAAAATGCAATGCCCCAAGCTATACAAAATGCAGAGAATAAACACACAAGTACATCTAGATGATCTCTAATGTACAAACTTTTTTTTTAATAAAGGTTTTATTAGCTCCCCTAAAAAGGGGAGGTATTTCGCTTAAAAGAAAAAAAGGGAGGGGTAGACAGTGGGAGAAAGAGAAAGCTGAGTGATATATAAACTGGTAAATTAAACTGTTAGTAATGTCCAATTAATCTTCTTGGGCTTCTTCTGTGTGTTGCCAAACTTCTTTTCTTAGTCCTGTTACATGTATTCTCTGTTAGTATGTTAGTAATGTTCCTTTGAGATTCTGTTAATAAAAAGGATCTCTTCTGTGCACATTCAGAACCGCTTCTTTGCGTGCTGGGTACTTTTACTATCGCTGACGTGGAGGAGCTTCCTCTGTTGTCTTCTCCTTCCGGCTTGTTAGATCCTCCTTCGGGTTGTTGTTAATACGCTCAGTTCATGTACTATAAATCCTCTTCTTTTCATGCCATTACCGGAGGTCCCCATTTTCGAGAATGGTCTAATGTACAAACTTAATTTCAAGTCAGCTGTGACTTGATGGCAAAAATGAATAAATAAAAGGACAGCTAAACTTTCTTTTCCCATGGATTTGTTGATTATTTATTAATATTTAAAAGTAATTTATTAACGATTGGCATTGGCGTAACTCACCCTGTGGTGCAAAGCAACAAATGCTGGAATGTATTTAAGGCAATTTCTTTCCCTTTGAATGTGTTGATGACCGCTCTCTAAAATGCTGTCATGTTTCTTCTTTCTTGTATCTGTGGTAGTCAGTGTTGAGAGAAGGGGGGGGGGGGGGCGCCACTGATACGTTAAAAGAACATGTTTTTAATGACATTAAGATGTAGATGATGAGTTCAGAGGTTGCTCAGAGGACCTGAGCGGCAGCAGTCACGGGAACAGGGGAAGGCTGGTCCATCACTCCGCGGCTGTTTGGGCGTCCCAGCCCATTTCTGAACACAATATTGTAGGTGAAAAACTCAAAGGCATTGGTTTAAATCCCCCCCCCCCAAGCAAGGAAATGCACAATTGCAAATAACCTCTTTATTCCAAATCCTTACTCAGGTACTGTGCAACTGGAATTGGGACCTGATTATTCTGTGTTGTACCCCTAATTCTTGTAGCTTTTAGTAAAGGTTTGAAGATTTTGAACTTAATTTTGGTTTGGTGTAGTGGTTAGGAGCACGGACTGGGTCAGTTACAGGTTCTCTCAGAGCTGTTCTCTCATGAGCAGTTCTCAAAAGATCTCTCTCAGCCCCTCCTACCTCACAGGGTGTCTGTTGTGGGGAGGGGAGGGGAAGGGAAAGGAGATTGTAAACTGCTCTGAGACTCCTTCAGGTAGTGAAGGGCGGGGTATATATATCGAACCTTTTCTTCTGGGTTTTTTTTTTGTGTGTGTTTTTGCTGCTACATGGGATTATGAACCAAAGAAAAGGCTTTAATGGATCATAGCCTCTTCCAATCTAAAGGGTGACTCCTGCTGGTCAATCTCTTGTCTGAAGCCGATGGGGGGGGAAATGAGCGCTTCTCGATGAATGGAAACCCGAGACAGAAATAGGCCTCTCCCGGCAAGGAGACAGGGTGCTTCCATCAGACACTTTGCTCTCCCCATAGTGTTCATTTAATGAGAAACAATTGAATCTTTATGTATTCTGAACTTATCACCTGTCCCTCAAGAGGAAAAGACCAAGACGTATTTTCCTAAATGCTTTTGTATCGCCTCAGTTGCTAAGATACACTTCTTAGTTAATTATGATGGAAAAAACACAGGTTTATTCAACTTTCTCTTGGTCACCACACAGTGGGACAGGCACATACTGCAAATGTAGTTGTGCACCTAAAAGTGACATGTATCGAATGAGAATCATGTGAGTTTTCAGAACACGTGCATCATGCAGAAACTATGATCAGAAATCCATGGTTGGCTGCAATTCCTCACTGAACGCGCATATACACAACAGCAGATTCAGTGCACTTCCCACATAATGGCCCAATTAACAACATACCGTGAATGAGTCCCAGACTCACTTTCACTCTTCCGTTGTGTGCTGTGACTTCCTTCCTGTTTTGAGGTGAAGCACAGGTGCTGATTACATCCAGACGGACAAACTGTATTTTATGTTTACCCTCCAAACCAGAATTGCAAACCATGATTGCCCTGTGGATACCCGTTGCTGGAAGAAAGACTGAGGCAGGGCAACCGTGTCTGTTCTTGTGGACTTCCCAGTGGCTTTCAGTACCATCAACAACAGTATCCTTCCAAGTTCAAGTCCAGTGGCACCTTTAAGGCCAACGAAGTTTTATTCAAGGTATAAGCTTTTGTGTCCGTCCTCACGAAAGTGTATACCTTGAGTAAAACTTCATTGAAGGTACCACTGGACTCAAGCTTCGTTCTGCTGCTTCAAGACCAATGCAGCTACCCACCTGAATCTAGTATCCTTCCAGATTGTCTGGGAAGGTACCATCTGAGAGGAGGAGGAGGAGGAGAGGAGATTGGACTTATACCCTCCGGCCCTTCACTACCCAAGGGAGTCTCAGAGTGGCTTACAAACTCCTTCCCCTTCCCCTCCCCACGACAGACACCCTGTGAGGCAGGTGAAGCTGAGAGAGCTCTGACAGAAACTGCTATTTTTCAAGGGCAGCTCTGACAGAACTATGGCTTGCCCAAGGTCATCCAGCCAGGTGCAAGTGGAGGAGTGGAGAATCAAATCCGGTTCTCCCAGATTAGAGTCCGCACTCTTAACCACTACACCAAACTGGCTCTTGTGTACCCTCTCCTTTTGCTTGGCTGGTTGTTTCCAGAAGGTGGAACCAAAACACCACTGTGCCACATCTGATGTGGTGTTTGTAGAAACTTCTGAGTTTGGATATATATATATTTTTTGTCCTATGGGAAGAGTAATATCTTCTCTCCCTGCCTCCTCTTGTCTTCCTGGTTAAAAACCTTTGTGTGTTCTAAAACTTGAGGAGTTTCAACTAAGTGTTTAAAGTTTTTTGAATGCCATAGGTTTTGAAGAACAACATGCAGGATAAGTTACTGTATGGTTAAAAAAAATATATCACTTTTGTTCACTCTAGATAAGGAACTGGTCCCTGTGACAAGTCTTTCATATGAGAAATATAACACAGCCTTTCTTTGGATGAATAGCCTTTTTCATTCAGTGTTTGCTGCGGCAGCAGCAACGCCAACCCGTGAGAAATGTGACAAAGCCCCCTTTCCTAGATCCTGCAGGGCCATTTATATGAGAAATGCAATGGATTGTTTGTGTGTAAGAGTTCAGCAGCTGATCAGCAAAATCAATGCAATACCAGCAGGTGATGTTCGGTGATCTGTGTTCCTTTTTGTATTTACCCACATTGGTTCCCTTGCAGTGCCTTTCCCATCTCCTCCACAAAATTGCAAAGTTCTCATGCAAAATGTAGGTCATAATATCGATCTGTCACAGTGGAGTAAAATAGGGAAAGTGAATGTTAAGTTGACTAAATCTGTTACATAATATGTTTTATAGATGCCTTCTAACCCCAGATAGGTTGTCTAAAATGTATAAAAATTTGTGTAATATATGTTGGAAATGTAACAACCATATTGGGTCATACTACCATATGCGGTGGACATGTAAAAAGGTTCATAAATTTTGGATAGAAGTCCCCACTTTCTTACAGTCAATCTTGAATATCATGATACCTTTTAAGCCAGAAATATTTTTGTTAAACTGTTTACCAGATGAGTTAGATAAGAATCATAGATATTTCATTTTACATGTTATAACAGCTGCCAGAATCTTATTTGCAATGGCACGGAGGACACCGAAGATTCCAATGCTACATGAGTTCATACTGAGGATTATGGGATGCGCTGAAATGGACAAGTTGACAAACATATTAAAAGGAAAAATGGAAGAAGAATTTATGAAACCTTGGAGGGCATTTTATGACTGGTTAAAACTCAAATACAGAGAAAATAGGTTTAAGTGAAGAATAATAAGAATGATTATTGAAATAGTTGTGAGATCGTAAGGAGCAGATTTGCATGCAAAATGCTAAATTGGGATTTTATATATTTCTGTCCATTTTCTTTCTTCCCCTCTTTCCCCCTTTCCCCCTTTCTTTGTGTAAACTAATCACATTCTTTTTTAAAAATTGCAAAGTTCTCCAGGCTGCGTTTCCCACAGCATAACATTATGTAGCATGTTATCTGAAGGTGTTCAAGTACAGAAGTTCTCTCCCAAGTTCAGAATGCCCCGACCTGGATGTCCCAAGCCAGCTCGATCGCGTCAGATCTTGGAAGCTAAGCATGGTTGGTCCTGGTTAATACTTGGATGGCAGACCGCCCAGGAAGTCTGAGGTTGCTGTGCAGAGGAAGACAATGGCAAACCACCTCTGAATGTCTCTTGCCTTCAGAATTCTGTGGGGTCGCTATAAGTCGGCTGCCGTTTGATGGCATTTTCCACCTCTACCAAGTTCAGAATACATATAGCAGCAGTTTGTAATCTAAGCTAAGGCCCCGGTCTCTAAGATGCTACTGGACTTGAATCTAAGTGTTTTGAACCCAAGAGACATAGATGGTTCTGAAACGATTGTTGTTGGTTCTAAAATATGATGTTCCCTGTGAGGTTTTATTAAAAGTCAGTAGTGTAATTTACCACTTTTTCTGTTGTCCTGAAGGGTCAGAGATGGATTTAGTCTTCTTTAGAAAGTAATAACACGAGGGGAAATATTTCCTGTTAAAATATTTTGTTTTCTCTTCTGACTTGCAGGGTAATTATACTGGCCTTATTTTCTACCACGAAGGCTGGCCCTTGTGCATCCATGAGAAAGTTGTCGTACAGTTGGCCCCTCTCCACAAAGTCCGTTTAAAACCAGGAGATTTCTACTTCCAAATCGTGCCGGTGGGGAAGCAGTCAGTCCGCCTAGTGTTAAAATGCCTCTCCAGACATGGACAAGGAATGGAGGAAGTCATTGTACCTGAAACCATGTATGGCTATATTTTCACAGCAGAGTTTTTGGAAAATGTAAATTGCGAACGGGATGGCTGTCCCTTGGAGAGCTGCCTGCTGACCACAGGTCCGGCCACCTACAGGACTCCTTGGAAGAATATCGTGAACCCTATCTTTATTCCGACAGCCGAAACAATCCTGCAAAACTATTCTGGGAATTCTCTGCTTGAGAAGTTAATCCTCAACAATCCTGATGCTCAAGCCATGGCACAGACCATGGAAAGCAGCAGCTCTCGTGAGAGTTCCACATCTAATGACACGGGTTCTACCATGATAGAGGTACCTCTGGCAGACAGTCATGGCCACCAGAGCAGTGATGATTCTGTTGTGTGTCACGGTCCTGAAAGCCAGTCTGAAGTGGAAAGCTCAGACACCTCAGCCGAGGATAGAAAAGGTGACGAGCCAAATCCAAGAGCACTTTCTGACGGATACCCGCCTACGGATCCCATTTCAGGCCAAGCCACTGGGGAGCCTGAAAAGACTCCTGAATTGGCACAAGATATTTTGGAAGCTGATGCATCAAGTCCTCCACTAGTGAAAAGGAATGGTGCTAGAAGCATAACTTTTGGTACTGACCTGAGCAGCCCGCGTCAAAGAGGACGGGATTCTGTGTATTTTGAAACAAAACGTTTGTTTAGAAAGTCGTACATAGAAGCGTTGCAGAATCCAATGAACCTGGGCTCCAGCTCCGACGAATCGATTGCAGAGGAGGAGCATTCAGGGCACATAATGGATTCCGGAGAGGCAGGGAGCGATTCCAGGAGCAAAATCTGTGGGAACTGTGTCAAGCAAGAGAGCTCCTCTGGCGGAGTTCTGGCAAGAGGGGATGAACCCAAAGAGGGCATTAGATTTGGGGTTCATTCCCAAGGCTCAGAAGAATTCTTTGTACCTCACGAAGCTTCTTCCATGTCAGGTTGCAGGTCAGACGCAAGAAGATCTCGGTCTTTAGACAGGACACTTAAGAGTTCCCGAAGTAAAGAGCACCAGCTCAGAGCTTCCTCAGATGGAATGTTTGGTGCAAACCCCAAAAGGCTCTTAAACGGACATTCTGTAAAGCAGGAGAAACTGGATTCACGCTTCCACGAACTCAACTCTTCAGAAAACCAAAAATCCAGCCTGGAAGATGAAGGTAAAATAAGTGTAGAATGGATATCTCGTTGTACGTTGCCTGGTTAAGTCTCTTCCAACAGTTCAGAACCGCACTTGCTTTTGAGTATGGAGTTTGATAGACTTATTTAGCCATTGATAGACTTATCCTCTATCAATCTATCTAATTTCCCTTTAAAGCTGTTTATCCCTTTGCCCATCACAACATCCTCTGGGAGAGAACTTGGTAGACATAATGGTATATTGATATAACCATATTCTAGTGCCTATTTTTTTTTAGTTGGAGAAACCCCTGTGGCTCAAGGAAGGGGTGGGCATTGCTGGGAGTCTGGGACATGGAAACCTGCCATGCGGAAGCCCCCTTAGTGCTGTGTTTTATCAGCAGCCACACTAGCGATGGGGGATCCACCCAAGACCCACCCCCGTGTGAAAACCACCCTAGTCCAGCGCTCTTGCTGCTACATCATACTGTAGAGGTACCCAGCTGCCTGTAGGCATCTTTGGAATTCTGGCACAGCATGGTGGATGCCGTCACAAAATGGCGTCCGCCGCTTACCTTCTCACGCAGTGCCGATCCTTGTGCTGTGGTGGCAGCGGCTGCAGAAGCAATATTTTTAAAAATCTGCACAGCCTATCAAATCTCCAATGGTCAATCAGAAGTCTTGCTGGGCAAAAAGCCCCATTGGGAGGGCACAAGGAAAGGTGGCAGGTTCCCTGGCACCCACAGGCACAACGTTGGGGATCCCTGTTGTACTGGCTCTTGACCATCTTCCCTTCTCCGCTACCGCTTAGCTGCTCCTCCCAGACATTCGCTAAACTGTATGGGTATTAGGTGACATTGTCTGCCCTGAGGAACACCCATACCCCTTTGAGGTATCCCTTTGCTTGAGTGCTGGAGAGGGCAACAAAGTGTATTGTAAAGTGTGTGATGGAAGGAGCAGCCTTGCTTCAATGGGTGGTATTGACTGGAAACGACAGCAATGTGTTTTCTTATGAGATAAATGACTTCTCCTACATGCTGCATGAAGTCAATTTTGCATCTGTGTGATTTTCCCACCGGGAAGTTGTAATTTGTAACAGTCCTACACATGTTTAAATTATTGTATGTTCACATGGAACATTTTATACCACATAGAATTTTCAAATGTTATGGTATCCATTTGGAAATTATGGTTGGTCTTTCTTCTATAGGAAGTAATTTCCACGTCAAAAGCTGGTAATGTGTAAAGCAGTCCCAGGACTCTTTTTCTTGGATGCATGACCAGAAGAAACCAGAAACCCAGGCTTCACTTTCAACTGTATTCCTTTCCTTTGAGTCAAGGCATTGATGCTTACAGTATTCTTTGAGAATATGATGTTCACCTTGTAGATGGGACAAGAATGGCAGAGACTCAGCTCCTTAGTTGCTCAGTTTATCAGAATCATGATGAAATGCAAAGCCCCCTAATCCCGGTGCTCTGGCTCGTGCAAGTTGGTGGGGTTTTGTTCTCCTTTTAGGAGATTAGGCACTTCAACTTCAGTTTGGGTTGGACTCCACTCCAAAAGCCATTGGTTGCTTTTTGAGCAGTCCACATTCCCTGTGTGAAGAATTTTTATTTCAGAATTAATACAGAGATGCTCAGTAAAAGTTTATCATAAACTACTGTTTTATCCGGAATAATTTTGAAACTTGCATGTTTTTGTGCAACTGTCAAGTTGTGTGGGTTCGGTACAGCTTTCAGACTTTCGCTCTGCGACGTCTCTTTAGGATGTTAAAAATAACAATGAGCAATTAAAAATGCCAATAATTTTAATAAAAATTGCATTTTAGTTTGAGAGTGCATATCTGAAAAGTTGGCTGTAAACCATCAAATATATTGTTTAACTCCCATCCTATGCTTCTTTTGGGGGGGGTTTCCTTCCATTGTTCACTTTACTTTGACGGAGTAGTTAGTCTGTAGCCTGAGTTTTCACATCATATTGGCCATTCTTCCTTGCTTCTAAAAAAAGAAAAAGTGACCGTAATTATCTCCTTCCTGCCCATACAAGAGTTTCAAACAAGATGAGACGGAGGGGATTTCACGGCTGTGTGCTTCAAACAAAAGCAACGGTAACTTGAATAAACAGGAGCTGCTGGAGTATACTTTTCCAGTTTCAGAGGGCGGCCATGTTGGTCTGTTAGTAGAACGGTTAGATCGAGTCCAGAAGCACCTGAGAGACCAGCAAGATTTTGGGGGTTTGACCTTTCAAGTCTGACGAAGGGAGCTTTGACTATTGAAAGCTTCTACCCTGAAACTCTTGTTGATCTCTAGGATTCTACTGGACTCAAATCTTAGGGTGTGTTCAGAGGGGCCGTTTAGTCCGCTTTCGGCACGCTTCAGTAACAGATTTTATATCCACGTTCACACACCCAACATCTGCGCACCATCCCCAGCCATCGCTTTCTGGCTCAAACCCCCTTTAAAACGGAGTATTTTGTTACCAGGTCTCCAAGTGGTGTTTTCCTGATTCTCTGGTTCTATCCGCACTTTTCTGATGTCTGATCGCTCATGTGGTGTCGAGCCACTTCCACTCGGAAGCCCGAGGCTTACGCTCTTTGCTCGCCATTTTATTTTAGCATCGGCGGTATGCGCACAGGCGGAGCTCCGCTCCCGTGTTATTAAAAACAATGTTTAAACGGTGCCTAGTTTTGTTGGTTAGACGAGTTCGGGATCTCACGGAGGCCAGTTTTGGGGTAAAAGTTTAAAGGGAAGTGTTCCTTTGAAGTTTAAAGGGAAGTGTTATAGCAGTCGGGTTGATCTGAAAATTTGCGCATGCCCAAACTGGGGGGGGGGGACACCGACGCACGCTCCTGCATGTGGATGGCGGGCGGCGATGTGGCTGTGCAGCGATCCAGAACAAGGAGGTGAGTGTGATCGCGATTCTCCAGGTTAAAAAAAGAACGCATCAGGACCGGAGCAATTTAAACCGCTCCCAGCACGCCGTCTGACCGCACCCTCAATGTGTCACAGTCTTCCTAATAACACAGGCTTCTGGGGTTTTTCACGTGATCCAACCTCTGATATTTGTTCCCTATTTGATGCTTTCCCAGAACATTAGTCAATAATCCAAAGTAAACGTCAAATAACCAGAAAGATACGTAAAAGCTGTCTACTTTCATTTAACTAGCGTTCTCTCCAGACCCAGCAAGAGACTCCAGAATCAGTTTCCGGAGTTGCGAGTCTGCTGTAAATGTAACGCCTCTACTGCTTCGACGTGAGAATGAACTCTGGGCGAATTGCGGGGATCCTGACTGTGTGTTTCCAAGCCAGTTTCTTGAAGCAAATCAAGAATTACTGCAGTTGGGAATAATAACTCTGTGTGGTACGTAGTAAATAGAGAACTGTGTGATTTTGACAAAATACTGTACAAGCATAACATGCACAGAGATTTCTTGCAGCATTGTCTTTGCAGGCGCTTCTGTCAGTCCTGATCCAGTGCTATAAAGTTAATTGGGAAGCATGAAAAAGAACCAAACCATCATCCTAGATCAGGGGTCCCCAACACCGTGCCCGTGGTGTTCATTGACACCTTTCCTGGTGCTCCCCAAGTGCCCAGCAAAGCTTCTGATTGGCCACTGGAGATTTTATCAGCTATACAGATTTTTAGACACATTGCTTTGGCTGCAGCAGCTGCCACCACAGCACAAGGATCTTCACTGTGTGACTGAAGGCAGGCTGCGGCAGCCACTTTGTGTTGGCCTCACCTCCTATGGCAGCCCTTTTGTGGCTGTGCCCACCAGTGTTCCCTCTAAGCTGAGTTAGTGTGAGCTAGCTCACAAGTTTTTAGCCTCCGGCTCATGCGTTTTTGTCTTAGCTCAGGAAGGATGGCTCCAGAGCAAACTAATGTATGCAGTAGGCGAATCGCTTGCTCACAACTTTAATGCCAGTAGCTCACAAAGTAGAATTTTTCCTCACAAGTCTCCACAACTTAGAGGGAACACTGGTGCCCACCATGGCGTGTCAGAATTCCAAAGGTGATGGCAGGCTCAAAAAAGTTGGGGACCCCTGGGCTAGATTGTGCTTTTACATGTGTAGGTGGGTGGCATCCACCGGCCTTTCCCACCCGGGCTGCCAGCCTCACCTATGATTACCTGAATGGGACCTTTAGACTCTATTCAAACAGCATGAGAACGGAACAGCTTCTTTTCTACCAAACCCCCCCTCCACAGCCATTGACCATGTGATGTGTCCATGTGATATGTACGTGCATTATTTCTGATTAAGCTCCCACGTGATTATTTGGAGGTGCACTTGGTGCCTCATTATCCCCCAGTATATGTAAGGAAAGCAACTGGCAAAAATATCATTCAGTTTGGCACCTGTGAGATGAATTGCGCCAACTTGCTGGGCCCACAGTCATCTGAAGTGCCCAGAAGTGAGACTGGACTGAATAGACTAGGGTGGGCCTTCAAGTCAGGTGGAGGCTGGCCGTGGTTGCTAAGCAACCAAATAGCCAGGGGAGGGGGAGAGCGCTGCTTGTGTGGCGGCGGCAGCCCCTGCCCCAACCCCACACCCATTTCTTTATGTCTGAGCTGATTGGTGTAAGGGCTCGCTGATGTCACAAAGCCACTTCTGATGTCATTCTGTGCTTTTTCAAGAGCTGCCTCTGGTGGCAAAGTGGTTTGGGAGCAGAGTCAGGAGGCAAGCAGGCGTGGGGGGCATGGGAAATGTTTACATGGGGATCCTTTATTCATTTATACTTTCTGGTTAGGGAACAGGGACCGTGGTGGAAGAGCCGTGTTGCAGGCCTGCATTAAAAATGGTGTGTGGTCCAGTGAGCATTCCAGAGTCCAGGAGCTCACTCAACTTCTGATGTATCTCTACAGCATCCCCAGGTATGCAAAGAAGAAGAAGAAGAAGCTGGTTCAATTTCTACATTTTATTTAATTACTTATCAGTTCAGTTCAGTTACCTTTATTGGCTACCGAGACTGGTCTAGCCTGGGCCATCCAGGTGAAGGCATTTTCTTGTGGACAGTTTGCCTGGAGTTTGAGGGAGGGGTCAGAGCGAATGCGAGTTGGGTTGGATAGAGATCATAGAGCTTTATAAAAGACAGGGAAGGGGTGTGTGTGTGTAGGTGGGGGGAGGCTTGGGGGGGGGGAGACCAGGCTGACCCACCTTTGTGAATAGACACGGTGACGGTTCTCTTGATGCATGTTTATTTACCACCTTGAAGGTTCCACTTTCATTTATTCATTTTAAAACATTCACGAGCCTAATGGAACTCAAGGCAGCTTACAACAAGGGAGGGAAATGGTTTGCTGCTTCTCCATGGTAAGTAAAGTGTAGCTTCACATTCAGGTGTCTGGAGGTTTATAGCTACGTTTCTGCTTTTTGATGTTTCTCACTGCCCAGTATGTCACTTGTATTTCTGCCACTTCAGTCCTTTAGCCAGTAGACTTTCCAGACTGTCTCTTCTTTTTGTTTTAGAAAGGAGGTCCGTGCTTTGGGACTACTCGTGTTAGTGGATGCTCGCAAAAGTCAGAACGTACCTGTCTTTTTCAAAGCTTTGGCAGCTTTACAGGTGAGTGCAAGTACAATGAAGTGTTTAATATCTGACTAGGGATTTTTCTAGTAATTGAGCATTGGTATATGCCTCTCTGTCTGAGGACAGTGAATGGTATTTCTTTCCTTGCAGCAGGGACATTTTTAGTTCCTCCTTTCTGCTGCTGATCCTGACCTAATTTTCTCACTGTGATGCTGAGCAGCTTGATGAAATTTAGGTGCTGGTGCCATTTAAGATGGTGGCAGCTGTAGGTATGACAGGTTCTAATTGGCTTTCTCTTGAGTAAGTTGTCTGAGGTCTAGAGCATGAATATGCTTGCCACTGCAGATTCTGTCTGCCTGCAAGCTTCTGTAACATAAAGCTGGAAGGTACCCCCAAGAGTCATCTAGTCCAACCCCCTGCACAATGCAGGAAATTCACAACTACCTCCCCCCCACTTCCCCAAGGACCCCTACTCTGTGCTCAGAGGAAGGCAAAAAACCTCCAGGGTCCCTGGGCCAATCTGGCTTGGAGGAAAATTCCTTCTTGGCCCCACAGAGGCCATAGCCTGCTACCCAATGAAGTCATAAGGCCTGGATGGGTAGATCTTATTGAGTTCACACCAATACCATTATTAAACTGATTTTAGTGTTTCCTGGATATGCTAAGCATGCCTTGTGAGAAAGTGAGTTCTCATGAGATGCATAACTAAATTCTGGAAGTGTGAGAGTTTGTGTTGGCAGCTTTAACAAGGTTTTGGCCTCTGCTGAAAGTAGCGGAAGTGAGGAATTAGATTATAATGAGGAATCATAATGCCTTTCTTTGCCAGGGCCTGGCACGTTTCAACTCTTCCTTTGAAAGGTTTTTTTTTTAAATTGTAATTCACATTGAACTAAGCCTGCATTTACAAGAAGGGAATGAGGCATTTCCTACAAAAATTATTGTACTGTGAATTTTCTTCTGAAGTGGCGGGTTTAACTGAAGCAATAAGCTTTTTAGTAATCCCCCCCCTTCTACACGCAAAAAGCCAAACCGCTGAGAAGCCTAACCCAGCCCCACCCACTTCAAGAAATACGTACCTTGAAAACATTTAGATTTCATGTGTTGCATAACACCATAAACGGAAGAGTCTCTACAAATCCCAGTGATTGGGTGGGGATCAGGGAAGCTTTTGGATGCAATCTTTAAAAATAACAGCACCTGTGCCTTCCGTGTCAAATGCTGCTCAGTGTTGTCTCTTGAACTTTGAAGACGATCCAGCCAAAATTGGGTACTTCAAAATCTTGAATGATTCCAGCAGACAGAGAGAGAGTGCCTGTAGTGCGGGACAATTGCTTCCTTTGTATTGTTTTGTAATACAAATTTGTTTTAATTTAAACTGACAGTACAAAAAAAATAATATACAACTCATAATCCTATCGAATCAAAAGATACGTAAGACCGAGCTCCATCTTGAAACCTAACTGTGCTTGTTTTGTAAACTAAAAGGTTCTGGTATTCCTACATAAGACTGTACCCATTTCCACCAGTTCCCTTCTAGAATTTGAAAAAAGCCCTTCCCCCCAGCTGCCAGAACTCAGTACCATCCCCAATACCCACCTTGAAACTTACTATTCCAGAACATGGCTAACAGAGACAACCAGTTAGTTTCAGCACTAAATGTGGAAAAGTCACTGGAAAAGATAGTAATGTTAGGAAAAGCTGACGGCAGGAAGAAGAGGAAGAGGAAGAAGAGGAGGAGGGGGAGGGGGAGATTGAATTTATACCCCACCCTTCACTACCTGAAGGAGTCTCAGAGAGGCTTACAATCCCTTTCCCTTCCTCTCCTCACAACAGACACCCTGTGAGGTAGGTGGGGCCGAGAGAGCTCTCTTGAGAACTGCTCATGAGAGAACAGCTCCGAAAGAACTTATGACTGACCCAAGGTCACGCCAGCAGCTGCATGTGGAGGAGGGGGGGAATCAAACCCGGTTCTCCCAGATCAGAGTCCGCGCTCCTACACCAGACTGCTTCTCAGGAAAAGACGAAGACGCAACATGAGATGGACGGACTCAAAGGCCCTCAGCTTGCAGGACCTGAGCAGGGCTATCAATTAGAGCTGCCAAGCCGCTGCGGGGGATCCGCACGTCTTCACAGGATCCCTGCCGCGGGGGTCACCGATACGCGTCACATCCTGGCGACGGTGGTGCAACGCGTATCGCTGTCCCCTGCGGCAGGGATCCTGTGAAGACATGCGGATCCCCCACCGCAGCTTGGCAGCCCTACTGTCAATGATAAAACTGTTTGGAGATCGTTAATTCACAGGGTCCCCATGAATCGGAATCTGCCGGAACTCTGGGAAATGAAGTTTTTAATCTGGCTACTAAAACTCACAAACCTTTAAACACTTTTAAAAAGAATTTTGTCAAAGAGGTTCCGGAACTCTGTTCCGGCGTGTTCCCCCAGAAAAAAAGCCCTGCCGCCCTCTCTCTACTGTGCAGCCCATTCTATAAGGATGAAGCCACCATTGGAAAATAGCTTGGGCTGGATTTGGCCAGCTGTTTCAGTCTCGCCGAATCCCCTTCCTATCAGAACCCCCGTCCCATATGGCCCTTGTGCATGAAGGTCCCACGTGATCCCCAGCATGGCCCCTGTTGGTGCCCTTTCTTTTTTGCCAGCAGACAAACTGGTTGGATCCATCCCCTTTTCAGGCCACCAGAGGTTTAGCCTCTCCAACTGAGGGGATGGTCAGTAAGGTCTTTTGGGAGGTGTGGTGGTGTAGGTTTGTAACAACTGAGGCAGTCCGGTGAATATGGGGTCCTAAGCTATAGAGGGCTTAAAAGTCAGAACCAGAACCCTGAACTGGACCTGGAAACAAACTGGCAGCCAACACAGATGTTCTAAACTTCACATTATGCAACCTACTTGTCCCAGTCAACAACTGGACTGCCGCAATTTGGGGGACTTAATTCTAGAGTAGATGTGCCGCTGGATTGATCTGTTGGCCGTTTTCGCATTCGGTGACTTTTACAGGTTCAGATTTATTTTTTTAGAATGAAAGTCTCTTCATTAAAAAAAAGTTAACAATCATTCTCTCCAATAGACTGGTAACAAGGCTTATCTTGGCTTGGCACTTAAGAGTATGTAAATAATCCAGGCAACAGTCACCTTCAGATTAGACTACTGTAACTTGCTCTACACGGGGCTGCCCTTGAGACTGACCCGGAAACTCCAGCTGGTCCAGAATGTGGCAGCACGGGTCCTTACAGGGTCCCCACGAATGGCATACAGTCAGCCTGTGCTGACTGAGCTGCACTGGCTCCAGATGGCATACTGGATCAGGTTCAAGGTTCTGGTGTTAACCTTCAAGGCCCTTAACGGTCTGGGGCCCACGTATCTTCGGGACCGCTTCTCCTGGTATACCCCCAGAAGAGCATTGCGCTCAGCAGATAAGAACTCACTGGTGGTCCCTGGGCAAAGAGGCATCTGGCTATCCTCAACCAGGGCCAAGGTGTTTTCCTCCCTGGCCCCAACCTGGCGGAACTCTCTGCCAAATAGCATCCAGGCCCTGCGGGATTTAACGCAGTTCCGCAGGGCCTGTTAGTCAGAGATGTTCCGCCAGGTTTTTGGTTGAGGACAGCGACGGTTTCCATCTGTCTGGCGCTCCTGTTTCCTGCCTCCCCCCCCCCCCGCGAGGCAGTGGCACAATCCCTAGTCTTAGTGTCATTTTATCAGGCTGGTTATTGTACTTTTATTGTATTGTTATTGCTTTAATTCTTAAATTAATATATGACAGTTTTTTAATTAAGTACACTGCCCTGAGCCCTGTTTTTACAGGGGAGGGCAGTTTAGAAATCTAATAAACAAACAAATAAATAAATACATTTTTTTTGCTTTCTTTAGGGTGCCATTCCTCACTCTGTTCACAGCGTTCTGATGTTAACTGATAAGGATTCTACTTTCAAGCCTGACAAAGAGGCTGCTTTTCAGGTAAACTCTCCCCCCCCCAATTGAATTGATTAAAAATAGATAATAATTGCTATAATAATAATAATTGATATTGTGACTTACATTTTGCTGTTGGTGCAAACTGTGTGGTCCTCTGGAAGCCAAGGCACGGGGGAAGCTGGCTGGCCAGCCAGAAGCAGTGGGCATTCTGACAGAAGCGAATCAAAATCCAAAAAGATGGCATATATCCCCTGTAAGATTAAATAAATATAACAAAAGTTTAGGGAAAAATTGCTGGAAATGTAACTATTGTGATGGCACTTTTTACCACATATGGTGGTCATGCACCAAAGCAAAAAAATATTGGGCTATGGTAAAAGAAATCATGGATAAAATATTAGGTAAAAAAATTTCATGTACGCCAGAATGCTTCTTGTTAAATGTAATCCCTGATACATTTAAGAAAAAAGAGGCATACTTAGTAATGCAGATTTTGACACCAGCAAGAATTGTATTTGCCAAGAGATGGAAAGATGGCAATGTTCCGACTAAAGAAGAGTTTATTTTTAAACTGTTCGATATAGCAGAAATGAAAAAATTAACCCTTATTATCGAAGAAAAAAGTTTGGAGAATTTTGAAAAGTATTGGCTTGGCTTTTATAGATGGTTGAAAGAGTCTAATTTTGGTTTAATTCAATGCATAAGGTTTATTTTTCGGTGTCATAGTGTAAAAAGTACAGGTATTTACTTGAACTTTGTGAAGATATCTGAAAATATGTAATTATGATAAGACGATGGTTATTTTTGTTTATACTAGAAAATCAATAAAAATAATAATGGGGATAAAAATCCAAAAAGAAGACCCGGCCTTCTGTAGTACAGTCCTTCTAACTATTTCAGACTGTAAGATTCAGTGCCGTGCATATACAATGGCTGTGGTCACCCCCACTAAATAATCCACTTTCAATCCACTTTTAGTGCACTTTTCAACTGGATTTTACTGTGTGAACTGGCAAAATCCAGTTGGAAAGTGCACTGGAAGTAGATTGAAAGTGGATTATTTTGTGTGTGAAAGGTGTCAGTCCTTTGTGTTCTGGGTTTTGTTTAGGATCTTGGGGAGTGGGTAAGAAGAAGAGATTGGATTTATACACCACCCTTCAAGAGTCTCAGAATGTCTTACAATCTCCTTTCCCTTCCCCTCCCCACAACAGACACCCTGTGAGGTAGGTGGGGCTGAGAGAGATCTTTCCAGAACTGCTTGTGAGAGAACGGCCCTGAGATAACTTGTGACTGACCCAAGGTCACACCAGCAGCTGTATTTGGAGGAGTGGGGAATCAAACCCTGTTCTCCCAGATTAGACTCTGCGCTCCTAACCACTGCACCAAGGGGGAGGGGAGTGGGTGGAGCCAGAACAGATGTGGTCACAAATCTCTGTTCATCTGTAAAAGGCAAAGGGTTTGTGGCACCACGTCAGAGCAGCGCCAGAGGAGCAGAGATGGAGTTTATCCCTTCAACTTCCACATGGTTTTGCTAATCAAAATCTTCTCCCTCTTAACACCCCAAGCTGTTGTTAGGTCTTTAAAGGAACATTCAAGGGTTTTCTATCACTTAACTTTGCATTGTTCTTGCTTCACAGTTGGTAAGCTTGTGTGGAAGGGAACGCACACATGGAGACATGAAGCTGCCTGATACTAAATCAGACCACTGGTCCATCAAGGTCCAGTCTTGTCTGCTCAGACAGGCAATAACTCTTCAAGGTCTCAGGCGGAGGTCTTACACATCACCTGCTGCCTGGTCCTTTTAACTGGAGATGCCAGGAATTGAACCTGGGACCTTCTGCATGCAAAGCAGATGCTCTGCCACTGAGCCACGGCCCCTCCCCAGAATGTAATTTAGTACCTGCATTTTTAGGGCACCAAGCAGACCTCCTCCCCATACACACAAGTAAGAATTTTAATTGCCTATAAAATGGGAACCTTGAAATTTGACAGGCCTTCCCCTAGGGGCTATCGCAGGACTCAAAAAGGAGACCAGGGTCCTTGATCTTGGGATCATAAGAACATCAGAAGAGCCCTGCTGGATCAGACCAGCCACCCATCTAGCCCAGCATCCTGTCTCACACAGCAGCCAACCAGTTCCTCTGGAGGTCCAGCAACAGGGCACAGAGGCCAAGACCTTCACCTGATGATGCCTCTTGGCACTGGGGTTCAGAGGCTTAGTGCCTCTGAATGTGGAGGTTCTCTTTAGTCACCATGGCTTGTAGCCTCTCCTCCGTGAATCTGTCTAATCCCTTTTTAAAGCTGTCTATGCCTGTGGCCATCAGTACCTCCTCTGGCAGCAAATTCCACATTTTAATCGCTCGCTATGTAAAGAAGAAGAAGAGAATGAACACTGCCATACCAGTTCCTTACCAGTAGGGTTGCCAAACTCCAGGTGGGGCCTGGAGATCTGGTATTACAACACAACTCCAGACAATAGAGTTCAGTTCCCCGGGACAAGACGGCTGCTTTGGAGGATGGACTCTGTGGCACTGTCCCCTGCGGAGATCACTGTGGCAAGGTCAGGGTGAGAGAGGAAGGGGGCCAGTTGCCTGACCTGGCGTAGTTGAAAAAAATGCCAGCCTGGCAACGTTTGCCACCTGGGCCTCCATAAATAAGGAGGCACCCGGGAGCACACCCAGGCTCTTGACGGTTGGTGCTGGTGTTAGTGGAACATCGCCCAGAGCTGGGAGTTGACACCCTAACCCTTGGATCGCTCCCAGCCACAGGACCTCCAACTTTGACATATTCCGTCTCAACCAGCTCTGTCTCAAGCACCCCGTCACGGCCTCCAGTCCCTCAGCCGAACCTGATGGGGCAGAGTTCATCCATCCGCCCATCAACAGATACAGCGGGGTGTCATCAACATACTGGTGACAACCCAGCCTGGAACTCCACGCCAGCTGGGCGAGAGAGGGCATATAGATGTTAAACAACATAGGAGAGAGGTTTGCCCCCTGCGGGGCTCCACACACCAGAGAGTGGGGGGGACGATACCCTCTCTCCTAGCTCTACCCTCTGTCCCCAGCCCTGGAGGAATGAGGTGAGGCACTTCAAGGCTGTCCCAAGGACTCCTACGCATTGGCGCTCGTACAGAAGCAGTTTCAAAATTCTCCTCTTTGAATAGCAGCTGATAACAGTGTTTTGAAGATCAGATATTCTGGTGGCAGTTCAATTAAGAAATCCTCTTACCGCACCCCCCTGTCCAATCCTGTGCCACTCTGCGTGGGCGAGTGAGTGGATGGACAGATACCGATCTCTGTGACAGTCACTGTTTTTCACAAGTGAACCTTCTTGGTTTGGTCAGTTGTTTGATGTTGCAACTTCCCAGTGTTCTTGGGAATTTTGTAAATGAGAGTGCTAAGAAAAGTTCAGCGTCATTATTCTGTTCATTTGCTTAAAGGCTCTGTTGTTAGCTGGTGTTAGACACCCTGTAACTGTTTTAGGTTGAGTTGTGTGACACAATAAGAAATGACCCCACCAACCGGGCACTCTTCTCTTAACTTTGCTTGACAGTGTGACGTTCTCACATCACTGAAGGCTTTGCTTAGGTACATCGACTGCACCCAGTTGACGGCCGACTTTGATGGAATTTTCCCCTACAATCACAATGACTGGATACGTTTCCGAAGAGTAAGTCAGAATTTCATGTCTTTTTCGTTGTGCTTTATCGAATACTTTAAATTCACTTTAGTTCATCGTCATGGTCACCGTGCAGTCCCCCATGGCGTACTGCTCACGTGCAGACCTGCCACAGAGAATACAAAGGTCCTTTCCGCACTTGGATCTCATCCCTGGTTTTATCAGAGTTCAACTCGCGACACAATACCTGGCATTTATCTCTGGTTGTAACAGCATCTGTTTATCCCGGGACAAGTGTGGGGCAAAACCGGGGTGATGTGGAAACAAAAAATACCCCGAGATAATTAGAGGGGTGAACTCAAGTGTAGTGTAGAACTTAAGTTTGGGTACAGGGTTGAACCAGGATTTAAGGCCTAGTGCGGAAAGGACCAACATCTCCAAAAAGCACATGAGGTGCTCCCTTCCCCCATGCTGGCTTTTCACCACTTTTCAATCTGAAAAGAGGCTGAGGGAGAGCCTCTCTCTCATTTCACTCTCTCCCACTGTGGAGAGAGGTGGTCTTCTTCTGTCACCTCAGTTTTTTTGAGACAAACCTCATCTGAGCTCTACTGGTTTTTCTCTGCTACCTAGTCTAGGAACTGCGTAGGGGGCGCTCCCTCCCTCCTTTTCACTCTGCGAAAAGGTGGTAAACTGGTGTGGGGGAAGGCAGCCTTGTGCTTTTTTGCATTCTCCTCAGCAGCCTGTTCATGCACAATACCCATATGTGACCACTCGATGAACACCAGTTACAGGTAAGTCTGGCCCTCTTTTCTCGTTGAATTGGCTGCCAAAGTTAGAAATATAAGAATTTTTGCCAGAGTTAAATAAATTGTTGGCACCAGTCAGCCATTGTGGCCATTACAAAGTTTAGTTTGATGTCAGAAGTGCCAAGCCATCTCTTTCAATGGGTTGACAAACTGGAATCAGAAACCATTGTCGTTAGTGGGTTTGCAAACCATAGTTTGTGCTAGCTAGTGTTTGGCATGAAGTCTGAATTGCAGTCATGGCTTCCCTTACAGAGGCCTCAGTTCCAGAATTGTGGAAATGGTGGTGAACTTACACACACACAGGGCTATTTTGTGGCAGGAACGCACAGGAACGGAGTTCCGGCTGGCTCCCAAGTTGGCCACACCCAGCAGGAACTCATTAGCATAATAGGCCACACCCAACAGCAGGAACTCATTAGAATTGGCTACATTAGGGGTGTGTGGCCTAACATGCAAAGGAGTTCCTGCTACAAAAAAAGGCCCTGGGTTTTGACAACAAACAAGGTAAACAGAATAAGAAGCAAAAGGTGGGCGTGGCTGCATAACCACACTTCTGGTAACATGGGGGTGCGGCCTAATGTGCTAATGAGCTGTGCTGTAAGGGGTGTGGCCCAATATGCTAATGAGTTCCTGTTGTTGGGTGTGGCCTATTATGCTAATGAGTTCCTGCTGGGCTTTTTCTAAAAAAAGAGCCCTGCACACACACATGCACACATGTGTGCGCACACAGCTGTGAAGATGGTAAACGAAAGGGGACTACAACAATAGAGAACCACAGCTCATAATGCCATGCGAGGAAAAGAACAAAGAAAACTATGTATGCGCACTAAGAACCAAAAATGCAAAATTGCAAAATTCAGTGCTGTATTATAAGTCCAACAATCATATACATGTGTGAGGAGAGGTCCAAAGTAGTAGAGTTAACGAAGTTTTTCAGATTACAAAGTCGTTTCGCAATCTTCATCCGATTGGGACCGTGAATATTTTTTCAAAGCTGCAAAACTTCATTTTTTATGTGCTGCATAAATCTGTAAATCAGTCAGTCAACAATTTCCATACTAGCAAAGTGCATCTATAGTTGGAGTCGAGCCATCAGAGCAAATGAGCAAAAAAGCCTACTTGCGTCCAAATGTGTGTAAGCCCGAGTAACTACCCCTAGAGGGTAGCCCCGCTGAAGAAACTGATCATGCAGCTTAAGGCATTTTTTTTTTGCTCATTTGCTCTGAGGGCCCGACTCCAACTATAGACGCACTTTGCTAGTATGGAAATTGTTGACTGACTGATTTACAGATTTATGCAGCACATAAAAAAATTAAGTTTTGTAGCTTTGAAAAGATATTCATGGTCCCGTTTGGATGAAGATTGCAAAACAACTTCGTAATCCGGAAAACTTTGTTAACTCTACTTCTTCGGACCTCTCCTCCCACATGTATATGATGGTTAAACGGAAGGGGACAGCAGATCCAAATCATGGTTTGTGAATGATCCAGCATTTGAAAAAGAATCCCACTCTGCCATGGAAGTCGGCTGGCTGACCTTGGGCCAATCACGTGTTCTCAGCCGAACCTGCCTCACAGGGTTGTTGTGAGGACAAAATGGAGAAAGGGAGAATGTCGTGAGCCATCTTGTGTCCCTGTTGGGAAGGAAGGTGTGGTATAAATAAGGTGAATAAATTAGAGTAGTCCTTTGAGCTTTCTATCGAAGCACAGCCCTCAGTTACATCTTAGAAATGAGATCAACAAGTGGAGGGGGGGATGACGATCCTAGTTTTTAAAGACGGCCTTATCCAGTTATTGTGCTTACACTTGCAGAAACTTGAGCCATTTGTTACCAACTGCCAAGAAGCCATTGTTTTCTTACAGTATTCTGTGTGTTCACTCAACAATACTCCAACGCCAGTCACTGCACAGGTAAGTGCTGTTCTAATTCGGTGTTGTGAAGCGTAATGCTATCTATAACCAATGGGGCTTGAAGCACTGCTTCCTGGGAGTTGTAGTCTGAGAGCCAGTTGAGCATGCTAGCTGACTGGCTGAGATATGAACCAGTGGGCTGTCCTTTGAATCCTGACTGTGCCACAGACTCGCAAGCTGTGCCAGCCACATTTTCTCAGCCTCTTCTGCAATACCAGGGGTACTTTGCTTCCCTCACCTTACAGGGTGGCTGAAAGGTAGCAAGACATAGTGCATATAAAGTGTTTTAAACTCCCAGAAAGTGTGATAGGAATTGTTTATTATTTAATAAGGAAAATGGTTATCCTGTAACAACATGAGTTTTGAGGCTCTGCAAAGTTAATATACCCATATCAGTTATTCTGTTGTAATGATCAGTTTTGGAATTTTTCTGATCAGTGTGTCCCCGGCCTGACTGCGCTATTCTAGTTCAAAAACCACCTAGTATTGGATTGAATTGAAGCAGGCCCGGTGTAGATTCCTGTGATAACTGGGGGAGGGGGGTCCACCAACACCTTTCCTGGTGCCCACTAAGTATTTTTATAGAAAGTGGGCAGGGCCAGGTTCCTCTCGTGCCCATCAGGGCTTCTGACTGGCTGTGTGGATTAAAAGTTTATAAGTTTTAATGTGTTTTAAATTTTATTGTATTTATTGAAATGTTGTGACCCGCCCTGAGCCCGTTTATGGGATGGGCGGGATAGAAATGTGAACAATAAATAAATAAAAGGCATCCAGTGAAAACAGCTCTTCTGCCTTAAAATGTTGAAGAGTTACTGTGAGGGTGGTACATAACCTCGCTCCCTGGCCATTTGTGGTTGGCTCTGCATCCTGCGGCAGCCATTTTGTGGTTTCACCCACCACCCTGTGTCAGAATTCCAGATGTGCCCACAGGCTCAAAAAGGTTGGGGGCCCCTTCACTACGCAGTGACAGTCCCCTCCATGTGTGAACTGGCTCAGCTGGGCACTATGTCTTCAGGCGAATAAAGTTCCACCTATGATGACAGAGCTGCAGGGGTCCATTCTCACCTGCAAGCCATCTCTCATTGCAGCTGTCCTCACATGATGAATACATGAATCAACCCGCCGCCTTCCACACAGTCCACCCTGTCAGTTCAGACCCTCCTCACAAGCTGGCCTGCCCCTTTCTGTCAAATCTCTAGTCGCCCTTATTTCTGTTTTGCGGGGCGTGCAGAGCAGGCTAACAGCAAATCAGGACACCTGGAATGCTAGTTGGGAGGGGGGAGTGAGAAGGGAACCAGTTAAACCATCAGTTGGATGCAGGTAGGGTTTATACCTCCAGGGAAACTGACTGGAGGAATCCTTTCTCAGGAGACTTTTGTTGGTCTAAGAGCCTGGCTTTTAGGAGAAGTAGGCCAATAGATTGAATGTTTTAGGAAGACAGGGTTTGAGTCTCCAGAGAATAATATTGGAGAGCCCATTTCTCTTAGAGACTGTGTTGTCTTGGAAATTGGCTTTAGGGGAAAGCAGCCTAGTTTAGTGAATATTTTAAAGATGAGACAACTGTACCTATCTCAGAGCCTGGCTTAAGAAGAAAACTAGCTAAAGAATTGGAATTTGTGGAAGGAGCTCAGGGTTATGCTGTGGGATTCTTAAGATTGTTGAGAAGCCAAATAATCCACAAAAGCCAAAAAAACTCACTTCAAGAGGTTTTCTAATAACTGTTCTCTGCACTCAGGAATTAACAAGTGACTCCTTGCTTAACATCCTTAGTCTGTATCCAAGAAAGTCAATAGAAGTTACTGTTCCCCCCCCCCATGTTTCCCTCATGGGTTCTGTAAAGTCCTAGTGAGGGCAAGCATTTCTAAAATACAATCCAGGCACTACAGGAGAAAAGAACTCAGTCGCCATCATAACTTCAGCAAGCAGCCGCACCACTAAATAAGTTGTGGTAAATTCCCTCACATGTACTGGAATAAGAAACCACTTGGGATAAGTCTGTCATGTGGAGGCCGAGGGAGAGACCACGCTTGTCCAACTTCACACCACACTGCCTCTATTTGAACACCATTTAAAACCCCAGCCTTCTCAGAAGCCACCTCTAAAAATATTGAGAAATTTCAGACAGGCGATATATTCCGGAAGAGGAACGGTTCCCAAACGGTTTCTGGTCTGTCATTTCAGACAGAACCGTTTGAGAACCGGTTCCCTTCCGGAATATATTTGTCATTTCATACACAATCGCTTCTGTCCCATTTAGGAAACGGGGTTGAAGCGTTTTACCTGTCAACCACTTCCAAGTACTCCTCAGTTTCCTCTCCTGGTTCCGATGCACTTTTTCCAGCTGTTTTTCACCCGTGTTACTCCATGACAGATCAAAAACGGCTTCAAAACGGGTTAAAAAGGGTAATGTGAAATTCCCCATTCTAAAGGAATAATAACTAAACCCTGCAATAACCAGAGAAAGCCGATGCTGAGTTTTCAAGTCGTTTCTCTGTAGAGTTGCTAGCAAGGTCGTTCATTTTTATAGGAGGCGAATGACTTGATCCACAAACACAAGACAATGATGAAACTGGTCCTGGAAGATGAACTGCTGGTGACCTTAAGACTCGAAGGCGGGACCATGCTGGCAAGGCTTAGAAAAGAGGAGTTCTGCAATACGGATGATTATCGGTAGGTACATCCTTTGTAGACACGCTTGTCTTATGGATTACAAATTCGTAAAAGTTGTGTATTTCCCCCCCTCTCCGGTTGTTGTTTCTGTCCACTGGTTATTATGCTCCTGCACAGTTTTTATGACTGGCTACACATTTTAACTGCTAACGGTTTGGATTTTTAGTAAGAACTGTTTCTTTTATTTTGTTAGGCTCTTAGCCCGCCCTCCCCCGCAAGCAGGCTCAGGGCAGGTTACAGCAGCACAAACTCAACATAATACCCATAATTAAAACAAATAAAAGTTTAAAATCAATATAATAGTTTAGAAGAAGAAGTAGAAGAGAAGGGATTGGATTTATACCCCCTGCCCTTTACTACCCAAAGGAGTCTCAGAGCGGCTTACAAACTCCACCCCCTCCCCACAACAGACACCCTGTGAGGTAGGTGGGGCTGAGAGAGCTCTCTCAAGAACTACCCTTGAGAGAACAGCTGTGCCAGAACTGTGGGTTGCCCAAGGTCACACCAGCAGCTGCAAGTGGAGGAGTGGGGAATCAAACCTGGTTCTCCCAGATTAGAGTCCGTGCACTTAACCACTACACCACTACACTTAACCACTACACCAAACTGGCTCTCCACTGATAGTCTGCAATCGATGATGACATCAATAGTACCTCTACTCCTGGGCTCCCTATGTGTGTACAGGTGGGCATAGCTAACCTGAGAGGGGGCAGGCAGATGAGATTAGGGCCAGATGGAACAATGCAGACGGCATGATGCAAGGGGAGGCCAATACAATCTAGGTACCTGCTGCCTCAACCATAGACCAGGCGGAACATCTCCGTTTTACGGACCTTGTGGAACGGCATTAGGTCCTGCAGGGCCTGGATCTCACTCAGGAGATTGTTCCACCAGGCGAGGGCCAGAGCTGAGAAAGCTGTGGCCTTGGTCGAGGCTAGGTGGACTTCGTTCGGGCTGGGGATTCACCAGTAGATGTAGATCCATGGAGTGTTAATGCCCTTTGGGGGATATATTGGGAGTTGTTGTTGAGTCGCACAGTCGAGTCCGACTCTCCGCGACCCCATGGACCAGATCACGCCAGGCCTTCCTGTCTTCCACCGTCCTCTGAAGTTGGCTCAATTTCATGTTCGTTGCATCTATGACACTGTCTAACCATCTCAACCTTTGCCGTCCCCGTCTTCTTTGACCTTCAATCTTTCCCCAATCTTTCCTTATATTGGGAGAGACGGTCCTAAAGGTATGTTGGTTCCAGACCGCAGAGGGCTTTAAAGGTTAAAACCCGCACCTTGAACCTGACCCGGTATTCAACTGGAAGCCAGTGCAGATGGCTGAGCACTGGTTATGTGTGTGCTTTCAATGGTGTCCCTGTGAGAACACACGCCACCGCATTCTAGACCAACTGTAGCTTCCAGATCAGTCTCAAGGGAAGCCCAGCATAAAGCGAGTTACAGTAATCCAACCTGGAGGTGACCATTGCATGGATCACTAGGTCATGGGAGGAGAGGTGGGGAGCCAGTTGCCTGACCTGGTGAACATAATTGCCAACCTGGCAACATTCGCGACTTGGGCCTCCATTGATAGCGAGGCATTCAGAGTCACGCCCAAGCTTGGTGTAGCCAGTTTGGTGTAGTGGTCAAGTGTGTGGACTCTAATCTGGGAGAACCAGGTTTGATTCCCCACTCCTCCACTTACACCTGGCTGGATAACCTTGGGCAAGCCGTAGTTCTGATAAGAGCTGTCTTTGAAAAAGAGCCGTTTCTGTCAGAGCTCTCTCAGCCCCACCTACCTCACAGGGTGTCTGTTGTGGGGAGGGTGTAAGACAGGGAAGGGAGAGGAGATTGTAAGCCGCTCTGAGATTCCCTTGGGTAGTGAAGGGCGGGGTATAAACCCAATCTCTTTTTCTTCTTCTTCACAGTTGGCGCTGGTGTTAACAGCACCTCATCAAGAGGTGGGAATTGGATCCCCATCCCCCCTCCCCCGGCCCAGACACAGGAGGACCTCTGTCTTCACTGGATTTAACTTTGGCCAACCGTGTTTTAACCACCCAGCCATGGCCTCCAAACCCTTTGTCAAAATATCTGGGGCAGAGTCCGTCCGCCCATCCATCCATCAGCAGATATAACTGGGTGTCATCAGCGTACTGATGGCAATGCACTCCAAAACTCTAGACCAGCTGGGCGAGGGGGCACATATAAACGTTAGCATAGGGGAGAGAATCGCCCCTTACGGGATGCTGCATATTAGCAGGCAATGTGGGGGAAACTCTGTCCCCAAGCGCCGCCCTCTGTCCCCAATTATGGAGAAATGAGATGAACCACTGCAAGGTTGCCCCACGTATCCCCACATCGGCAAGGTGGTGGGTCAGAAGATCGTAGTGGACCATATTGAATGCTGCTGTCAGATCAAGCAATAACAGCAGTGCCGATCTGCCTCGATCCAGATGTCTCCAGAGGTCATCCGTGAGGGGAACCCGTGCCGTTTGTAATGTGTTGGGATTGTTCAGTACTTTTCTGACACTTTGATACTGTGGACTGCTGCTGTTTTTATTGTTGCTATGAGAGTTATTGCTGGCAACCAGTGTTCCCTCTAAGCTGTGGAGCGCCGTGAACAAAAGTTCAACCTCGTGAGCCAAAGGAGCCACCACAATCACACCCGACCATTGTATAAATTAGTTCCCTAGAAGATTATTACCCTAACCTTGGGGAAATCCCTGAATGAAAATCTTTTAAACTATATTTTAAGAATGATTTAAAAATTATAAGTGAAAACAGAATCAAGTCAAATTTAATTACAGAAAATGTTTTAATTTAACTTATCTCTTCTTCCTTTCTCTGTTTTCAAGAAATTGTAAACACTGTCAGTATTATTATTCCCATTAGACATATGCGGTTTAATTCTCATCAAATACACACCAGCCCTGTAATTCAGATCCACTCCAGCCGTTTCATTTTAAACCCACTTTTAAAACAAATACAAGGGAGATGTAGGCGTTCCATTCCCCTATGCCCTTTCTTTCTTATCCAACCAAAAAGAGGCCTGCTTTTGGTTTGTTTGGTTTTTGGCAGATTAAAATAACCAACAGCAGAATAATCAGTTTCATACATTTAATTTTTCTTGTACTGAAAGACACCCAGTTATTCCCACCACCCTCCCAAATTCCATTTACATAGTGGAGCAAAACTGGTGCCTAACAGGGTTTTCAGCCTCCAGGTGGAGCCTGAAGTTTCCCCAGAACAATCGCCCTCTGGCTGACAGAGATCAGTTCCCCTGGAGAAAATGGCTGCATTGGAGGAAGGACTCTATGGCCTGGTTCCCTTCTGAGGTCCCCCCTCCCATCCCCAAACTTGGCCTTTCCTAGAATCCCCCCAAATATCCAGAAATTTGCCATCCAGGAGTTGGCAACCCTATGACAACCATGACTGCAAAATAATTCCTGCCTTCCTCTCTTCCAAGATCTAAAAGTTTATCCCTTCCCCATCACTTACTTCGAAGTAAACCTTCTCGGGATCCGGCTGCATGGCTTTTCCTGTGGGCTGCATATCTGAAGCCCTTCTTGTTGTCTTTCCCCATTCAGAAGCAAACTCCACCCCCAAAAGAAAAGAGCCTTTCCTCTCCGCCCCTACCCTCTCCTTGCCTGGCCTCTCTAGTGAACAGCTCTGTGGGTTTAACCCTTTCAGTGCTGCAGACAAATGAAAAATGTTTCCTGTCCTCTCTATGAGAAGCTTCAGCCGGGCTACCTTCAATTATGCCCTATACAGCTCATTTGGGCTGCTCTGGAGTAACTCTGCACAGGGCTGCGCTGCCATGTTTGCATGTTTCCCAAAGGCTCATGGGGATGCTTTTGAAAGCCTCAACATTACCTGCATAAATCTGTAAATCAGTCAGTCAACAATTTCCATACTAGCAAAGTGCGTCTATAGTTGGAGTCGAGCCATTAGAGCAAATGTAAGAATACAGAGTATCACTTGCCCCAGACCGAGAGTTCCTATCTATCCCTTGTGGCTAATAGCCACTGATGGACCTCTGCTCCATATGTTTATCCAATTCCCTCTTGAAGCCACAGTGAATTGGATTAGGGAATTGCATACAGGAAAATTTCTCATGGATGGAAGATTTTAGGAAGACATTGAAGTTTTAGTCCTGGTGAGGGCATGGCCTGTAGGCATGTGCAAATGTTTGCTTATGCACAATTGAGCTTTTAACTTTTTCCTGTAACTTTTTCCTCCCCCTCCCCCATAATGAATTGCAATTCCCTTTCAAAGCTTTCCCAAGGCATTTGCCATATGATGTGGGCATGGGTTCTTCTTAAGGAAGAAAGCCACCCGAAACTATCATCTAGAATTGAAAAAAAAATGATGGGTGCTTATGTTTTCCCCCAACAGAGATGCCATGGAAACTGCTACAAGGCTATATAACCAGGTAGACGAGGAAGTTCATAGGCTGGTTCTGTTGTCTAATAAGTGCTTGCAACAACTGGAGAATTTCTTGGCAATGAGAAAATTTGAAGAAGGCTGTGATCAGGTCAGTGCTACGAATGCTTAAGAACCACGTCTGCTGGGGCTTGAAACAGCAATTTAAAACCAAAAACAACAACAACAACAAGAGGGCCTTGTGGAACACTGAAAGCCAAGCTTAAATGTTCAGCATTTCACAGGACCTGCCTGTGTGACTGTCCAGCGGCAAAAGGTTCTGGAGCTTCTTAGAACACACCCCCTCCCTCCGCCTGCCTAGGCATCACGTTGGGACATCCGATGAAGAATGCAATAGGGTTTCAGTGGTAGAAATCTGGAGCCAACCAAGAAGATAGTTTCAGAGGGGTGGCTGTGTTGGTTTGTAATGGAAGAGCTAGATTCAAGTCCAGTGGCACCTTCGAGAGACCAACAAGGTCTTCAAGATATGAGTTTTGAGAATCAAAGCTCCCTTCGTTAGGTACAAGTGACGAAGGGAGTTTGGACTCTCGAAAACTCATGCCCTGAAAACCTTTTTGGTCTCAAAGGTGCTTCTGGACTCGCATCTAGCTCTGGAAGCAACCAGAAATCTGAAACAGAGCTGTCACGAAACATAACAACCTGACACTTTAAATGATGCTAAAAATGTCAAAGTAGGATGCTACATGTAGCAACAGACAGTGCGAACTGTACACAATAGCATTGTCTTGCCACTGGGAACAGCAAACACAGCAGAAGAAGAAGAAGAGGAGACTGGATTTATACCCCGCCCTTCACTACCCAAAGGTGTCCCAGAGCGGCTTACAAACTCCTTTCCCTTCCCCTCCCCACAACAGAGACCCTGTGAGGTAGGTGGGGCTGAGAGAGCTCTTGACAGAAATGGCTCTTTTTCAAGGACAGCTCTTATCTGAACTACGGCTTGCCCAAGGTCATCCAGCCAGGTGCAAGTGGAGGAGTGGGGAATCAAACCCGGTTCTCCCAAATTAGAGCTTTATTTGTATACCTACCTTATTTACTCGAAAGGAAGGTGATTTCAGAACCAAAAAAGACAACTCAGGAACTGAGACAGACGGTTCAGGGGGAATGGGGAGAGGATAGTCCTGATCTCCAGCTGATATAGCCAAAGCGAAGAGGAAACAGAGAGAAAACAGTGTTGTGGAATCACTAGGGCTGCCAGCCCCCACAGTAGAAGTGGGGTATCCCCTGCCACCAGGCCCCGCCCCCTGACACTGATCTGCTGGCCAACAGGGGAACTTACCAGGAGAGGGAGGGAGGGAGGCCCAGGCTACATTGCCAGCAACATGGTTTCATCATGTCAGCAGTGGCGCTCTGGTATTTGGGCAAAAATTCTATGGTAGAAGTGATTTTTACCATAGACTTTTCCCCAGATACCAGATCATCGCCATGATGTCACAGTGTGATGACATCACTTCCGTTGCTCCAGAAGTGACGTAGTCACATCACTGATGACATCGCCTGGACCTCCTTCTCACTCCTGGTAAGTCCCCCCACCCACCCCCGCTGGTTGCCAGGAGAGATCTGGCAACCCAAGGAATCGCCAACAGAGAAACTGAAACTCCTTCAGAGGAAAGATCGGCAAAGTGGCTCTTCAACATGGGAGACGATGGCATCTAAGCTCCTTCCTCACACTTCTGCAGCGCAAGGACTGTGGGGACTATGCTGTGGGTTCAGAGTGGAAGCATATAAGACAGTCTTTATTCTCCCACATGCTGTTGGGGGGATTTGGATTTATGGGTTCCAGTCTGAGTGCCTAACCACATATTATGCTTGTCCACCTTGGGGGCTTTTAGTCAGTCATCCGCTGGGAGCTCCCTGCTGGAACTTAATTTTGCTCCAACTAAACTTCACTGGGAAGTGTGTGTGGAGAGATGTCTGCCAGGGGGGAGGGATGACCAGACATTGAAGCCAATGAGCAGTTAGGTTCCCAACTTTGTACAAATATTCTCTTGCCTATACATATGTTAATATTTGGAGAAAAGGCGTGTATGTTGGGTCCAGGCATGTACCTTTATGTGTGAGGCTAAAAGTTATGAATGAAAAGTTGCAAATGAAAATTACAGAAGCATCATACATGATTCATTTAGGAAAGAAAGGGCTCGTCTTTTCTTTTTATAAAGCTAATTAAAAATGACTTCTGTACAGCTGATCATAGAGGATGTTGGGATAAATTGCTAATTAATTTTAGATCTAAAGCCTTGCATTCTTTATAGATAAAAGCTTGGTTTGAAAATGAGAGCAAGAAATATCTCAGCCCATTGGACCAAGAACAGCTTTCCCTTGAAAATGTGAAAACGAAGCAGGAAGAGTTCCAAGGTTTCCATGACAGAGCAATGGTATGCCCCTGGTTCAAGACAATTATTTCATTTGCTAACTGAAATTGTTATTTGTGTAGCTGAAGCAGCCTTGCAAATCTCTCCTTATATATAATTCTGTTTGGGGGTGACTCTTCCCTGAACGTTCCACATGCTCCCAACTCAGTTGGGTCCCCGATCTGTCACTCAGGAGGTCTGCCAATCCCCTGGCTGCATTGCCTCGCTGCGTTGCCTCAGCCCTGCCCACAGAGCCGGTGGCCGGTGTCTCGGGCTCCTCTCAGTTCCTGGCCACAAACAGCTCACATAGCAATGGAAAGTCAGCTGCATGAGCCAATTAAGGATTGTGCTTTTAGTGAGGGAAAGCAGCCAGGGAGGGAGGGAGGCAGCCGTCTGGCCACGGAGAACCTTCAATGTCACAGGGAGACAATTCTGAAAGTCGAGCCTGCCGGAGACGAGGCAGACCGATGCGGGGGGGGGGTCGACTTTCACCCACTGCTGCTTCCCCGGGCACAGAGAGGTCCACGCGGGAGCCTCTGGCAAGGGTTGTCTTCTGACGCTCCAGTGGGCAGAGGCTTTGGAGGCCGAGGCTGAACATGACGGTGCCACAGCGGTCGTCGTCAGCCGCGCCAGGGTGCAGGGAGCCGGCCGGGCAGCAAGCCCATGGAAGTGGTGCCCAGCCTCTCACCCTTGGTGTGCTGCGAGGTGACAGACAGGCCAAACGATCCAGTGGTCACAGGGTGAGGAGACAGAGGCTGACCATGCCACCGCACTGGTCACTGCCACCTGTGGATGGCTGTAGGCGGCAGGGCGGGCTACATGCAGACGAGGACCAGCCCCATTGACGAGAACGTGGCCAAAGGGGAGGGCGACGCCAAGATCTTGTTAGAGCTCATTGTACTCCTTTTACAACAGGCTTTACTAGTAGTAAAGTTATATTTCCAAATTTTAATACGAGAAGACTGTTAGTATCACTGCTTCTTGTTGGAGAAGATTTTACAAGCAGTTAAATAAGCAACTATCTTGCAAATTATCCTTAGACAGTTGAGCTAAGCAAGGAAACTCCTTTTGTTCTTCTAGGCATTTGTTTGAGGTACAAAGATGCTTCCTGATCTTCAAGGCTTGATTGTCCAAATAAATGGGAATGTGTTAGTTTTGACTAGTAACAAGCACTCTGTTCCAAGCTCGTATTGTGCAAGTGTTGGGCAGACACAGCTACAGCCAATGAGTTTTCAACGGCTGTGTGGTCTGTAAATTCAGGGGGAGCTCTTGACTTTGCCAAGTGGGGGGAAAGTACCTGGAATGTGTAGAGCAGGGGTCGCCAATCTTTTTGAGTCTGTAGGCACCTTTGCATGACTTAGACAGTGCAGCCACAGAATGGCTGCCATAAAATGGCTGCTGCCAGAGGTGGAGCCAGCTACAAAATGACAGCCCCAGCTTACATTCTGTCACACAGTGAAGATCTTGTGCTGTGGTGGTAGCTGCTGCCAGTGCAAAATTTTAATAATCAGCCAATCAGGACCCCTACTGGCCCCATCCACTTTCTAAAAACATTTGGTGGGCACTGGAAAAGGTGTCAGTGAGCACCATGTACCTGTGGGCACCACACTGCGGGGGGCACCCAAGGTGTAGAACCAAGAACCAGAAGAACTAGCAGCACAAAGAGAACCGCTCACAGAGCCCATATTGGCTCACAGAGGCTCATATTGTTTACCTTGATATGACTGAAGCACATGGCACCAGTTTGTAGCAAAACACCATGTTCCTTTCTTCAAAACACAGCCCAACCACTTCCAAAAATTGGAAACAACTTTCTCCACTCCACAAACCTCTCCCCCTTTCCTTATTTAATAGCAAAAGTGGTGTGTTTCTTGTCTTCTCCTGCAGCAATATTCCCAGAAGGGACTGCAGCTCATCCAGGAGAATTCTGCTTTAAACTCCGAAGAAGAATTTCAATCCTTCAGCAGATATCTGAACAACATCACCGTTCAGACCGAGAAGAGGAGAAGGGAGCTTGAAAAGCTGATCAAGTTGTATGAATTTTATGAAACGGTAAGAAAAGGTTTGAGGTTGTCCTCCCACATCAGGGAAAGGATTGTTGCACAGGAAGAAGGCATCTCTGCTCACAGGAGGGATCTGCAGGATTCGGCCCTGTTATAAGTGTGCCCCTGGAAGACCGATTCATCGGCACCGTGTATTTGGACAGGGTTCGTGAATGTGGATCTGGCCAGCTTGCATCCTTATAGCATATTTTATTGAAGTGTGAAATCTGGTCTGATTTAGAGAAAGATATTTGTCCTCCCTCTTAACAGGCTATGTTAATTTACCATCTCAAAAACTCATCCAGTTTTTCCTTGTAGATGAGGATACTAAGAACATAAAAGAAGCTGTTATTGAACAGGCCAGAGGCCCATCCAGTCCAACACTCTGTGTCTCACAGTGGCCAAAACCCAAGTGCCATCAGGAGTCCACCGGGGGGCCAGAATTTCAGAAGCCCTCCCACTCTTGCCCCCCAAGCACCAAGAATACAGAGCATCACTGCCACAGACAGAGTGTTCCACCTATATATTGTGGCTAATAGCCACTGATGGACCTCTGCTCCAAACGTTCACCCAGTCCCCTCTTGAAGCTGTCTGTGCTTGTAGCTGCCACCATTTCCTGCAGCAGTGAATTCCATGTGTTAATTACTCTTTGGGTGAAAAAGTACTTCCTTTTATCTGTTCTAAACCTACTGCTCATCAATTTCATTGAGTGCCCATGAGTTTTTGTATTGCGAGAAAAGTAGAAAAGTACATCTTTTTCTGCCTTCTGTATCCCTTGCATAATTTTGTAAACGTTTATCATGTCACCCCTCAGTCATCGTTTCTCCAAGCTAAAGAGCCCCAACCTCTTTAACCGTGCTTCATAGGGAAGGTGTTCCATCCTCTTAAGCATTTTAGTTGCTCTTTTTTGCACCTTTTTAATGCTATAATATCATTTTTGAGGTGCGGTGACCAGAACTGTGCACAGTATTCCAAATGAGGCCACACCATCAGTTTATACAGGGGCATTATGATACTGGCTAATTTGTTTTCAATTCCCTTCCTAATAAGCATTTGCCTTTTTTACTGCCATCGCACACTGAGTAGACATTTTCAGTGAGTTATCAGCCATGACTCCAAATCTCAGTTACCGCCAGTTCGAATCCCATCAATGTGTATTTGTAGCTGGGACTTTTTGGCTCCAATGTGCATTACTTTGCACTTGCCTATATTGAACTTCATTTACCATGTTGATGCCCACTCGGCCAGCCTTGACAGAACCCTCTGGAGCGCCTCACAGTCCTCCCTGGTTTTCACCGCCCTGAACAACTTCATGTCATCTGCAAATTTAGCCGCTTCACTGCTTACTCCCAACTCCAAATAATTAATGAACACTTTAAAAAGCACCGGACCTAGTACTGAATCCTGCACTACCTCACTGCTTACCACCTTCCACTATGAAAACTGCCCATTTATACTCACTCTCTGTTTCCTGTGAATTAACCAGTTTTTAATCCACAAGAGGACTTGTCCTCTTATCCCATGACTGCTGAGTTTACTTAGGAGCTTTTGAAGAGGAACTTTATCAAAAGCTTTCTGGAAGTCTGTCAGAACCCACAGCCAACAACATAGTACACACTTATCAGGAAAGGTAATACTTTATTGAAGAGCTATAGATGCATTAACATAGGCACTGTTAAGAATGGCGGCTGCCCCTGGGGTATAATAGGATATAGGGTATTCGTATGCACCCTCCCACTGCCCTGGCCAATTAGCCACACTCCCGTGTGTGGGAGAAGGCGCTCCGGCCGTTTGCGCTGAAGCTGGGAACCAAGCTTGCTCCCACGGTTCCCTTAGAACTAGACATCAACATCCCACCACCTGCAGAACTTAGAGATAAGTGTTACAGCAGCGAAGAAGCACAGAAGGAATGCAAAGGCAATTAGAGTACAACTGATCTAAATGCCTAAAGATCCAGTCACCAACTACCAAGAGCCCCCCTCCCTCCATGCCCAGTGATGGTTCCTTGGTGTGAAAGGATACCTGTTGACCAAGTGAAGAAGGTGTACTTTCTGAGGGCACATTCCTCTTATCATCAGCATGGTACCATTTCCCCTTGACCCTCATGCTCCCTGACAGTGTCGGGGCTGCCATTCTTGGAGTGGGACACATCTAATTTGGCCCCAAGAGTCTTATCCATGTGCCTAACTGATTGTCTCTGCTTCTCCAGGCCAGCCACCTTGGCCTCGAGGGTGCGAACTTGTTCCCTGAGAACCAGGAGCTCCTTTCACCAAGCACACAGCCATGACTTCTGTCCATATGGCAGAAACATGTGACACTCATTGCAATACACTGGATAGCCCCCAATCCCCTGCTGGCATTCTACCTTCATAATTGCCTTTTTATTATTTATATTTTTATCACCCTTTTTTAGAAAACTTCCTACTTATGTAGATTTGTTTGTGGAAAGTGTGGTTACCCCTTTAGGGATGTGGAGCGACTAGTGCCCTGGCTTCCTCACCCTGGTGCTGTACTCGCACATCTCCTAAACCCGCCTGTTTATTCCTTCATTCCAGACACTTAGTCACTGGAGCAAGGCCTGCCACCTTGCAGAGCTGGGGCTGGGACTAAAGGTGACGTGTTATACTCCTTCCCCTGCCCATCACACTGGACACAGACAAATGATTGAAATATTGCTCTCTCACTCTCAGTGTGATCAGGCTAGTATTGCATCTAAGGGCTTGAGGGGGTTAGAAGAATGTATGTTCTCCATCCATTGAACACCAGTTGCCCACTCAACGGAGCCTCGATTTGCCTCAGGGCCAAGCAGGGAAGGGGGAAAGTGCCAAACTCTTCAAACTCCGCTTAGTTTTGCTGTTTAAAAATGGGCTTCCCTGCTCTGTCAGCATTGTGAAGGGGGAAAAGTAAGTCCTTTAAAACAATGCTTTCCCCCATTTAAGATGCTAAGAGCTAATCAAGGAGCCTGGCTTTGAATAAACCAAGTAGAAGCTGAAGGGTTAAATTCACTTTCCCCTTCCATGCATGGCCCCAAAGCAGTTTGTGGCTGCGATTTCCACTTTGTGGGTGGAATGACGGGATCCTCATGTTGCCCGTTGACGTCTAAGAGGAGTGTCTTGGGGAGCAGCTGTGGCCAGGTCAAAGGCAGCCTGCAGGGTGCCCATTTCTCCTCTGGCCTGATAATCCTCTGCAGGGGAGAGAAGGGGGGTCAGTTTTCATTTCCTGGTCAGAGAAGAGTGGAGCCATGTCATTCCAGTAAGATGGACAGAAGGGG